AGCAATACAGGTATTTGGTTTTGTTACTTCAGTTCGGGCTAAGTTACCCCTTCTGACCTTTTTTTGTTTTTTGTTTTTTTGGTTTTTTGTTTGTTTTTTTGTGGTTTGTACCTATTGAGAAACTGTCCACCAAGGGCCTAATGACCCAGTGATAGGCATCACCTCAGACACCATCTTTGCACAGTTCCTGGGGGAGTTGGGAGGAGACAATACAATCTCTTGGTGATGGTTAACACATACATCTTCCTTTTGGCACATCCCTTTAGGCAGTTTCAGCGTCGAAAATGGCCAGAAATGAAGAGACCTCTTCCAAATCACTGTGAGTTGAAGAACCAGTTTGCAGACAAGTAGAGCTGGTTCTGTCTTGCTAATTTCAGGTTTTACTGCTGTTGTCTTTTTTTTTTTTCCCCTCCAGTACTAGGGGTTGAAGCCAGGAATCATTCATGCTAGGCAAAAGTTCTCCCACCAAGCCTTGTTTCCTCTGGGGCTGTTCCCATGCGAGAGGGGGACAAAGTAATAGCTGTTTTTTCTATAATACATTTCATAACTTCAAATTAATAGCTAATCCTAATTGATTGCCATTCTCTAATAATCTGTGAGCTTGAGCTGACAGTGTTGAGGAGTGGTTAAGGACTACAGCTGATAGACACCTTGAAGGATGTGGCTGCAATGTACACCCTTCTCAGCAGAATGGCTGTCACAGGCCACGTGGAGACTGCAGCAACCCACAGTTCACTTTGAGTCTAGGGGGCAGCGCAATTTCTTCCACAAGGGGTGCAATACAGCTTGCCAGATTCTGTCAAAAATGCAAATGTGGAGCCGGGCGGTGGTGGCGCACGCCTTTAATCCCAGCACTCGGGAGGCAGAGGCAGGCGGGATCTCTGTGAGTTCGAGGCCAGCCTGGTCTACAGAGCGAGATCCAGGAAAGGCGCAAAGCTACACAGAGAAACCCTGTCTCGAAAAACCAAAAAAAAAAAAAAAAAAAAAAAAAAAAAATGCAAATGTGTGCAAATTCACCTTAAAACTGACAGTTCATCTGTCCACTCCCCTCTCTGTAGTGACCCACCCTGGCCTCCGTCCCTCTTCATGCATGTGAATTCTGTGGCTTTGCGGACAGTAATGGGCCAGCTTCCAGAACATGCATCTCAAATCCTTAGGCACAATTCTACCCAGACTCTTAAAAGGGGCCACTGAGTCGATAAGTGAGCAATTATGAGACAACTGGGTGGAGCAATTGCTCCCCTCATGGCCTAATGCTCATCAGCCACACCCTTAAACCAAAGCTTTGCACAGTGTAGGGCTGATTTAAAAGTCTGAATAGCACTGTTTTGTTCTGCAGGGGACAGCTTTGGGAAGGCTGGGAAGGTTAAGCGGCCCTAGAGAGGAACCTCCAAAACCAGAGGCCTTGTGTGGCTGCCCAGGCCATGCAAAACCACATGATTCCCAGTGCTGGAACTGGGAGGCCTGACAGGAGGCAGGGCCTGCTCCTGGGACACGAAATCCTTGAGGACAGCACCCAGACTTCCCCGGGCCCATTTTTTGCCCTGCTTTGCTTTGGACTGGAACCTCACCAGCTACACAGAACGAATTCTCATGCCTGGAGTCTCTGCCAGCCCGCTGAGGTTCAGAAGGACAACAGAACTGATTTCCATGGATTTCTTCCAGGGATGAAAGTTGCTGGGATTCTGTTTAAGTCGTATAGGGAAACAAGCTTTTAACCTTCTTATTCTTTGGAGAAAGCACGGACATGGGCAACTCCCGAGTGCTGCCGACAAGGCAGTCCGGCCATGAGTCAATAGCACAAAAGTGGCACCATTCACCTGGCCGGATGAGCCGCTGCCTCTGAAGCTGCCTTCACTGTACATATGTGACCGCTCACGTGTAACCAACACAGGGACTTTTAGGGGAATCTCACTAATACAAAATCCCATTTTCAAGAGTCGTGGTGTCAATAAACGCTCTGTGGCCAGTGTCAGCGAAAATCCCTTGAGCTTGTGGACATTTCTGTTCCCGTCCAGGATTCATTCCTTTGTTATCCATCCCAGAACTGATGTTTTCTAAGGTACTGAACACCCAAGTTCATGTGTGTCCTGTGTTTAATGACATTGTATTTGTAAAGAAATTTTGTAGTGTAAGTACAATCTCACAGTGTTCATACCCCCAGCCAATGACTAGCTATTGGTATGAAAAAAAAATCTTTGAATTTTTGTAAAAGACTATGGTGGGATTTTTTTTTTTTTTTTTTTTTTAATCTTTTCTTTAAGCATTCAAGATACTGCCAGTGCCTTTGGGAAGGGTTCACCTTCAGCTGAGAGGGGTCTGGAGAAGCAGAGGGCTGTACATTAATATTAAACCTACCGTGCTTCAAGGGGCCTCACAGGTAAGTCTCACCAGCTCTGGGGCATCTGGAAGTCTGTTTCTCAACAGTAAGGCAAATGCAGCCCTTTGTTAAACCAAGTAGGGTGACCCGGTCCATGTGACTGCCAGAAAGCTAGGGCAGGTAGAGGCAGAAAGGTGAACCCAACTCATGTCAGCAGAGGGCACTGTGTTTGTCTAAAGAGTCCCTGTAGTTTTCAAATGCCCTGAACAGGCCCAGGCTTCTCACAGACACAGGAGTGTCTTATTCCATACTCTTTAGCCCTCTTTCACCCTAGACCTGGGCGTGTGGAGGAGAGGAAAAGCATGCTTAGGCTGAGGTTTAAATAGAAATCTTTATTTACAAGAGCATCCAGACAGTCAGCAAGTCATTCAAAGCTCACCCCAACTGAGCCACCCACATGGGTTCAATTCCTTGCAAGGTAAAGAAAGAATGACTCCATTTTAGGTGACACTTAATATAAACTTGATTAAACCCAAACGTATCCTTAGTGGTGTCGGTTCCTGAGAATTTGCTGCTCTCAGAATGACATTTCATCTTTTTCAAAACTCCATATATATATTCAAAGAGAAGAGAAATGGGGGGCAAGAACAAAAAATAATGCCCTGCTTTTTAAACCCTCTGCACTGGAGATTTTTAAACCATCCACACTGCAATAACCCCTGGTGCTTCAAGGCAGGATCAGTTTCAGCTAGCCTAGAGGCTTACTCCTGTGAACACCCCACTTGGAACAGAACTCACGTCCTCCCTCCACAGATCGAAAGGGACTGAACTGGCCTGTGAGCAACTGGCAATCCTCTGGATGGTCCAGCTGCATCTGCCTCTGAATCAAGAAACTTCTAGGCTGTCAAGCCATTATCTTCTGCAGTACCCACTGCTCCATACCCCCAACTCATCTCAGCATTTAATCCTGATGAACAGCTGTTAATGTCAGGGCACAGTTCAGAGAGAGAGCGTGCTAATACCAACAGCAAACAGTACAGCTTCGTTTATTTCTGAAGAAACATGTTTCCTTAATATCATTTGATCTTCATAAAATATATTTTTATTTATATATCTTTGGATTCAGCAAAAAAGTAGGTACTGGAAATGTCCCACATCATCAAAGCAGATGGGAAGATTAAACTGTTCGCCCAAAAGACACCAAGGTTGAAAAGGGGGCCAGGGGGGAGGGGGAGGCGAGGTAGGCAACAGGAGTACAAAGAGAAGGACCCAAAACAGACTAAAGGGCAAGCCAGGTAAAACAACAAATTGTCCCAAAGACTGTTCAAAGAAACCAGAATTCTGAATTTGCACCAATAAAAATAAGTAGAAAATATAAAAACCTAATAAACTTCATTTTCCCCCATACAAAAGGGGTGCCAACCAGTTAGCCTGGCATTGGGGTGCTGAGGAAAGAATCACAAAGTTGGGTTGTAAATGTCTTTAAAAGAGGCAGGAGCACCACTGTGGCTACACAGTCTAAGCATGGACGTCTCAGCCACACCCAGCCCAACTCAGACAGAGTGTCACCTGCAGAGCATAGCGACACAATGGAAGCTTATGGATTTACAATCTGAGACAGTAGGTCAGTCACAGGGGGATCCCATCATGACCTAAACACGTTGGAAAGTCAAGTCCATACTTGAGGTGGCTCTGGAAGCAAGCTTCACTTATTCACAGACAGAAGAATGGAGTGATGTCCCTTCAGGGACAAGGAGAACAAGCGGCTAAATGTGTGACTTTGAAAAGTTAACTGGCTCTCAGAAATGCCAAGGCTGGCAGGGATCTCTGAAAGCTACCGATAGTCTAGCAATCCAATTCCACTTAATTGTCTGAACCTAAGAAAACCCAAATAAAGGGCATTAAATCTGATTTTCCCCTACTCCAAACTGACTACAACAGGTGCCAAGAGGAGGCAAGAGAAGTGGCGGGGAGGGCTAGCGAGTGACAAGGCCCTCCCTCTGACCCAGCAGCAGTGGCAGGCCTGGTTCTGACCCGGCATCCTGATGCAGAGAGGTAGTGAGAGACCCCATGAGCAGAACAACAGGAGAGCTGAGCAGACAGCAGACCACACAGCAAAGCCCCAGTGCCTTCCAGCTAAACCTGCGGCTCAGGTCCTACCAATCAAAATCACTCCTAAAAGGATGAATGGGCTACATACTATTATCATTTAATTTATGAACTGCTTAAAAACGCAAAGAAAGATCCTTTTTGAAATCAATTTGATTTTTTTTTCTTTCTTAAATTCTTGGGTGGTTTTTTAAAAGCTCATTTCCCCATATCTATTCCTTCACCCAAATTAACAAAGTGCGTAGTTCTCTGGTAAATAAATTTTTAAAATTTTAAAATGACTCCATCTGAACAAATGAGGACTTTAAGAAGCTTAGGTGAGGTGGGAAGCTGCAGGCTGCTCTTCCTCCCCAGGCTGTGGCATCCCGGTGTCCCCGCTTGTAGCCCTCACTGCATGGAGTTTACAGAAATCGACAATGTTAAATATTTAGCTTCACAAACTCTGTAAAAATGAGCTGCTGTGACCTACAAAAAAAGGTATGTACATATTTTTACATAATACAATATCTTAAAAGATCGTATTTACAAAAAGGAAATCTATTCACAGAAACACTGCGAGCTTCTGATTCAGAGTGCAGTACCTGGCCTTGGGTTTCACAAGTTTATTTCAAAGCATTATTGCTCTACCATATAGGCAAAGGGTGACGCCAGTACTTGAAAGAAAACAACAAACAAACAAACAACAATCATGTTCTTGTCCTAACAGATTAGTGCAGACAAAAACCAGGAACGTGGCTCACCATTCCTCACGCCCTCGGGAATATTGCATTTCTCCGCGATTTCCTAAATAAAGTGCACTTGGCTGCACATCAGCATGGGAAAAGTCAGTATTGTCATTTTCCCTTCTGCAAAGCCATTTAACATCAATGACAAATCCTTGAGAATTACAGGGTATCGGGACCTCATCAGGAGAAAACCTAAGACAACAGACTCTGGGGACTACCCCTGTAAAGGACAAGAGCGCAGAAACACTGGTTCCCCCGGACAGAAGAGCGACACAGAACTACTTGGTGACAAACCCTTGAAGACAGACTGTGCTCCTCGTCCAGTGCTACAAGACAGAAACCCTAGCCACCTAGATTTATGTGAAGACTTTGGCTGGCAAGGCAGAAGGAAGTGACCTGGGAGAGTGGTGACTATGCAATTCCTATCTCCAGAATCACATCCCCATGAGGCAGAAGACCATGCCACACAGAGGCAGGGCATCAGGTAGACAGTGCGCTTCAGCTTGAGACCCAGTCCCACTCAAATGACAGCACTGGAACACCCTGGTGGTCAAGCTGGTCCTTGGTTACCTCCCGATGGTCCTGTGCAGTGAGTGTCATTTGTACAGTGATTTCCTTATCGGTCCCACTGGGGAGATGTCAGCAGTATTTCTGTTAACAAAAGAAAACAGTCAGCATGGCAGAAAACCATCCGCCATCTGCACCCCTGCCAGGCACGGCTGACTGGTTCTGACTCTTTAGAATCTACTTCCACACAAACACCTAATAGCCCAGGACCTTCAAACCAAATGCTCTATTCAGAACTATTCTGTGTAAGTTATACATCTGAGTTAAAGTCTACAGACCACCTTGACAGGGTTCTGGGTCTAACCAGAAGGAAAACCCTTTTTAGAGAGTTAAGAATAGATACCCATACCTGATCAGGCCCCATGGGCATGCCGGACATGGGCATGGGGGCCATGTTCATCTGTCCCAAGTGCCCAGCAGCACTGTTGTTCATGTGGACCATGCTGTATGCTGCAGGGTTCCCCTGGGGAGCAAACTGCTGCTGGGGGAAGGAGCTGCAAAGAAAGGGTAATGTTGCTTCCACATCAACTCAGACTACAGGGCACACCAACTGTCACAGTTGTACCAAAGCAGAAAACACCAAAGAAAGAATGGAAGTCTTGTTTTGTTGCTGTTGCTAGAGACAGGACCTCATTATGTACCTCTGGCTATCCTGGAGCTCCCTGTGTAGACCAGGCTGACCTCAAACTCACAGAGATCCTCCTGCCTCTGCCTCCCGATTAAAGGCTAGCCACTACCCCTGGCCTGAGGAAAAGAGCCTGCCTGCCTTCTGTTTTCCACAGCTGTCGGGACTCAGCATGCTAACGGATATGGACATGGTACAAAGCAACCCTGAATAAGCCAAACACCTTGTTTCTAACTCTGAGCCAAGCCTCATGGTCTCTCCCTCCTAAGTGTGACTGAGAAACAGTCCATGCCTCCAGCACTAGGACATAAAGATAAGTCACACTCCTCACCTGCTTCTGGCCAGGTTCCCTGATGGCCACCCCTTCATTTCTGAGGACTGATACATGGGTGCAGTCTGAGGATGCTGCACCATGGCATTCTGGGAAGGCCCCATTCTTGATGACATCATTGCATTAGGAGGACTGGATACTCGCCCAAAGGCTGGATCTGGTGGTTGTCCCATCCCTTGAAGAAATAAACAAGAACCAATGTTCCAATGCTGCGCCCTTGGAATCTCGGCATCCTAGGTGGTAGAGAGTGGTGAAGAAAGAGAGGGCCACAGGTAGCTGCTCTGAGTGCTTCTCACTAAGATGACAAAGTCGTGGGTTTAGTAAGAAAGATGCCATCTAGACCCACTGGGAAGGCAGCTGCTTCATGCCCTTCTGTGAGAGAGACTCCTCCTTCCCAGAGGGCAGGGCTGCGTGCTAGAACTGGCACTCTCCCAACGAGACACCTTCATCCCAGTTTATCCCAGAACCTCCCAAAGGCAGGACTGAAGCACAGAGTGCTTAGCATAATCACAGTGGGGACTTAGGTCACTGAGAAAAGAGACTGAAGCCCACACCTGGGATCTGTCCCCTTGGCTAGAGTGTCCAGAGATGACACAGCATTCTTCACCACTGGGACATGAAAAATGGGCAAAGGAAGGCTTATGTAATTTTTTTTCAAACGAGAGGGGGTACTGGGGTTGAAAAAAGCCCAACTGAGAGAACATTCTCACTCTCTCCCCATTACGACACACACTGCTCTCTACCTGTCAGTTTTCCTCACAGACAAGATGGAGGGAACAGTATTTTGTTTTTCAAACACAGCAGACCTAGCGAAGCCTGTGACCTCAGTAACAAAGATTACTTTGGGAAAGGCACAGTATGCCAGGTTTACCATAGTTTGTTGGGTATGGAAACTGCTGCGGGGGGGCTTGTGGCATTGCTGGTCCTGACAAAACCCCATCCATGCTAGGAGAAGCGGTGACATTGGGGGGTGGGCTGAAGGCCTGAGGCTGCGGCTGTGACATCATCATTGCCATTCTCTGCTGCTGCTGCTGCAGGTGATGGTTTATCAGCTCTCGCTTTTGCTGGGCAGTCATTTGAGCGTTAAAGAAAGCCTGCTGATAGCCAATACAAAAGGACCAATCAGTTTCACACAGTGCCGATTTCACACTACATGAGCTATCATAGAGAAAACATACTCAGTGTCTTGTCTGTAATTAAAGGAAAAAGAAAATTATCAAAAATGTTTCTTTATGCCTATGACTTCTAAGTGCTTCCCAGTAAGCGCGTGTCCTCACTATCTAGGATCAGAAGCATGTACACATTCCTAAAAAGCTCAGGGCTTATCTTACACATACCACCTCATCACAGAGGGACTCAATCTGGTAGATTTTACTGGTAGTTTTAATGAAGGAATCCCTTCTCCCCAACCCCTCACTACTAACACAAAGGAGAGTAAGATTGAAAGACTAAGTACGGAGGCTGGAGAGATGGCTTAGAAGAGCATTGGCTACTTTTCCAAGGACCTAGGTTCAATTCCCAGCACCTACATGGCAGCTCACAACCACCTGTAACTCCAGTCTCAGAAGATCTCACTTCCTCTTCTGGCCTCCAGGGTCATGCACAGACAGCCATGTAAGTAACACACTCATAAACATAAAATAACTTTTTCTAAAGAGAGAAAGTGTGATGGGACCAATTCTTACAAGAACTTTAAAATTATTCTCACTTGTTTAAGAAAGCCAAGCCCTGTGCTGGAATGTGGCGAGGTCCATCCTCTGCTAGGAACTTACCTGGGGCTGCATCATGGGCCTCATCACAGCAGCACCACCAGTAGGGTTTTCCATTTTCATTTCAAGTGCCTGCCGGCTCTGATTTAAAAACTGAACAGAGAGAAGTTAGCAGGGTCAAGTGGATCGTGTTGATGAGCCCAAATCTGCTGTGGATATCGTTCTGTATAAATAAAACACTGATTGGCCAGTGGCCAGGCAGGAAGTATAGGCGGGACAAGGAGAGAGGAGAATTCTGGGAAGTGGAAGGCTGAGTCAGGGAGACACTGCCAGCCACCGCCATGACTAGCAGCATGTGAAGATGCCGGTAAGCCACGAGCCACATGGCAAGGTATAGATTCATAGAAATGGATTAATTTAAGATATAAGAACAGTTAGCAAGAAGCCTGCCATGGCCATGCAGTTTGTAAGCAATATAAGTCTCTGTGTTTACTTGGTTGGGTCTGAGTGGCTGTGGGACTGGTGGGTGGCAGAAATTTGTCCTGACTGTGGGCCAGGCAGGAAAACTCTAGCTACACCAATCAGCTTTACAAATTTTTAGCACCACCCAGTGAGATGATCTCTCCAAACCGATTGAGCTGGGAAGCCAGCCACATCTAAATTGAGATGACTCAGCAGCTGAGAGCATGCACTGTTCATCCAGAGGACCTGGCTCCTTTCACAGCACCTACATGGTGGCTCAGTCACTGCTACCTCCAGCACCAAGGGATCTCACAACTCTATCTGCAGGCACATGTATATTCTCTCTCTCTCTCTCTCTCTCTCTCTCTCTCTCTCTCTCTCTCTCTCTCTCTCTCTCTCTCTCTCTCTCACACACACACACACACACACACACACACACACACACCCCTATTAAAAAATAAAGTAAATCTTTAAAAAAAAAATAGAAGAGAAATGCTTCCAAGTCCTTGCCTGTGTGTAAAGCTTGTGTGTAAAGCCTGTGTGTAAAGCCTGGCACTGGGTAAAGCCAGAGAGCAACTGTGCAGCTTCAACAGCATTGTAACAGGAGCTCAACAGACTCTCGGGGTCAGGTTTCTCCAGAGCTTGTTCAGACAATCAAATGAACAACTTAACTCAATCAGATAACAGTGAGCATTTAGTAGAAAGAAATAATAAAACACAAACAGTACCATGAGCATAGGCACACAGCTTCCCCAGTTCTCAACCCACTTCAGGAACAACCATACCCTGGCTCCAGCCCACTGGACTCAGCTCAGCCACTTATTACTCAAGTGATCTAGCACCACCAAATGTAATAAGCAACATTTGTCTGCACTTACTTACAATTTGTGCAGCCAATTATGTTTTGAAGCAATTATGTTTTAAAACAACTGGGAATTAAGGAAATATCAGGAAGAAATGGAAGTTCTATTTGGAATATTAATTCTTTTTAAATATTTATTCTTATTTAAAGTGTATGTCTGTATGTGGGTTTATGTGCATGACTGAGATTTTTCAGAGGTTGGAGGAGGATGTGGATCCCTAGCTGGAGTTAGACTGAGAGGTCCCCAGTGTGAGTGTGCCAGGAACCAAACAGGTCCTCTGCAAAAGCAACACATGTTCTCAACTGCTGAGCACGTCCCAGCCCAGGTACTAAAAGCTTTAAAAATATCAAAACACAGTTTCCATGAAAATGCTGAACTCAACAATGGTGGTCACACATGTGTACAATCCCAGCATGAGAGGTTGAGGCAGGAGGATTACAAGTTCAAAGCCTGTCTGGGCTCCTAAGGGTTGTGTTCAAAGCCTGCTTGGTATTATCAAGATCCTGTCTTTAAACTGAAAAGCTAAAATATCAAGGTTTAAGTATCATATTAAGAAAACGCGCCGGGCGGTGGTGGCGCATGCCTTTAATCCCAGCACTCGGGAGGCAGAGCCAGGCGAATCTCTGTGAGTTCGAGGCCAGCCTGGGCTACCAAGTGAGTTCCAGGAGAGGCGCAAGGCTACACAGAGAAACCCTGTCTCCAAAAAACCAAAAAAAAAAAAAAAGAAAACGCATTCCGCCAGGCCAGTGGTGGCACACTCCTTTAATCCCAGCACTCGGGAGGCAGAGGCAGGCGATCTCTGTGAGTTCGAGGCCAGCCTGGTCTATAGAGTGAGTTCCAGGAGAGGCGCAAAGCTGCACAGAGAAACCCTGTCTCGAAAAACCAAAAAAGAAAATGCCTTCCAAGGACTGTCAAGACATGCTGCCTTCAGGGGAAATCATTTCTGATGTTCTAACCTGTTCTGTTTGAGACATGGCTCACTGGGTAGCCCTGGCTGGCCTGATACTCACTGTGTAAACCAGGCTGGCCTGGGGAACTCACAGAGATGCCCCTGCTTCTTTCTGCCTCCCAAGTGCTGGATTAAAGGAATGCACTAAGCAGGGCGTGACTCTAAGGACTGAACTAGGTTGTCTAGATTGCATGGGAAGCACTTTTACCCACTGAGCCATGAGCCATTTTGCCACTGCTAATGTTATACATACCATAGGATATACTTATAGAAAGATACTCCATTTTAACTCCTCAACAAGGAACCACCTGCACAAATAAAATCTCAAACGGAAGTAAAAGCAAAAGGAATTCCTTTGGTTAGCAAGGAGTGGAGAGCCAGTGGCAAGAGCTCTGACGAACACAGCCTGAGAGCCTCTACAAGCCTGGGCAAGCACACAACTGGCTCACCTGCTGACCCTGCAGCCTCTGCTGAAGCTGCATTCTCAGCTGCTTTGGGGTGTTTGTCCGTGGTCTCACAATGCTGGCTCTGGGATGCATCCCTTGGAGAGGAAAGCTGCCTTGCTGGCTAATCTGATTCATCATGGAGTTAAAAGATGGCGGCTGTCCCTGAAGGTTAAAGCCTCCTTGCACTGGAGGACCCTGGCCTGGGAACGTCTGTCCATAGAGTGCTGCCTTCTGGTCCATCATCACTGCTGCTTCTTGACCTTGAAAAATGTCTTGTTTGGCCTCCAAAGCTTGCCCCTGAAACATCAAACACAAATGAATGGTGAGGTAAATCTGAGAAAGCAACCAAAAGCAAATATCCCAAACAAGGTAAAAATAAAGAAAGAAATAAAAATAAAGTCAATACATGTGAGCAGTAGTAATGGCTCAGAATCCAGAAGCAAATCAAGGTTCAGGCCTGAAGTTCTGACATACAGACATACCCCTCTCTGTTGGTAGCTGAGTCCTAGCACAGAACAGGCTTGCACACTCCACCTTTTCAGTAGCTACAATGTAGTCAATATCTGAAGAAGCACCATTTGCCCAAGACCAGTTACAACCAAAACCTCTCAAACCAGGCAGACAATAAACCAACATCACAGTGGGCAGCACGTTCTCATGCCAACTCATTTCATCACCACTTGTTGGGTCCAGGGCTTTTGTGTCTTTTAGGACTACAAAACTTGCTTGCCCCCTTTTTTTTTTTTTTGAGACAGGGTTTCTGTGTTGCCCTGGCTGTCGTGGAACTCACTCTGTTGGATAGTCTGGCCTCAAACTCTTGAGATCTGCCTGCTTTGCCTCCCAAGACCTGGTATTAAAGGTGTGTGCCACCATACCCGGCCTAGGACCACACAACTTTTTCTGGGCTACTTTGAAACAAGTCTTTGAGGCAAAGAGCCAATCACAAGTGGTTAGCATCCAACCTTGACCCCTTCCCCAAATCTTTTCAGTTATCCTAAGAAACCCCATCCACATACTAAAGATTGAGTATGTTCATATCCAAAAACATGAATTAAAGACCTGCACACCTTTGCTCTTATTCTTAGTACCAAGCGTCCTTCCCAGTACAAGGACCTTCTTTCTGGGAGAGCAGAGATGGCTTTCCCTGTGTGTAGAAAAGAACAGGTACAGAGATACCCTGTCAGCTGAGAGAGAACAGCAGACAAAGCAACAGACAGAGTGAGAAGATCAGCCACACATGATCAGAGAGAAGCAAGAACTGTGCATGTTACACTAGGGAATCATTCTGACCAGAGTCCATTCAGCTGTCCTTCTCACACTGTTCTTTCTTACTGGCAGTGATGAGTAAGTAAATGATGTAAGTAAACTCTGCTAGAACAAACCAGCTAATGAATCCTGTGACGTCCTTTTCCTCTTGCCTTTTCTGTGGGGTAAAGGAGTGGGTTAAGGCAGGATTCCCTCCTGCCTTCTCGACAGTAGTCGATAGGGAGTCTGTGTGGTGTACATGTTTAGGAATGACTTCAACAGACGTTTACTCTTTGGCTTGGCTCAAAGAAGCACCAGTAAGTCTGTGTACTCCTCTGTGGGTCATAACTCAAGTCTGCAGCTTGAGGTAACATGACTGGAAGGGACAGAATAAAATGCAGGGAATTTGGCTGAAATGTAATAACAAGTGTAGGTGATTAGATTTCCTGGTTTTCAAACGTTTTCAGTAAAAGGAAATCAGTGTATTATCTTAATTTTTTGTAGCAATACCTCTGTATTTAAGAACTGATTAAATAATTAGGGGCTGTCCAGGTGGCTCAACAAGTAAAGGTGCCTGCTGCCAAGCCTGACAGGCCCTAATTATTTAATTCTTAATACTTACTATTAATTATTTAATTTAATTAATCAAGAGATTGTCGGGTTCAAACCCTGGCTCCCACACGATGGAAGAACAGACTCCCGTAGCTGTGCTCTGGACTCCACATGCATGGCATGGCAGAAGTACATGAACACATGCACAAAAATGTTTCTAAACTTTTTAGGGCTGGTGAAATGGCTGAGTGGTAAAGGCCTCTGTCACAAATTCTCACAACCCAAGTTTGATTTCCAAAACCTACATGATGGAAGGATAGGCCTGACTCCCACTAACTGTTCTCTGACCTCCATGTGTGCAGTGTGGTGTGCATATGCATGGACAGACACACACACAAAATAAAATAAAATGTAATAGAACTTTATAAATCTGTTCTTTTAATTTAAATAAAGTTTTACATAATTCGTGAATAGCAAGAGATGATTTAGGTAACAATAGGTAAACTAGGGGGGAAAGGACTTCTCATCTCTGAAAGCCCTCCCAGTTAAAAGCTAAAGATTACCAGGTGGTGGTGGCGCACACCTTTAATCCCAGCACTCAGCAGGCAGAGGCAGGTGGATCGCTGAGGTCAAGGATAACCTGGTTTACAAAGTGAGTTCCAGGAACGCCACGGCTCCACAGAGAAACTGTTTTGCGGGGTTGGGGGTGAGGCTGAAGGTGTCACCATCACTAATCCTCAAGTGGTCAGTGTTAGACCAAGCATCAACTCTCTACATGCAATGATGATGATGATAAACTAAATGCATGTTCTGGAGGAGGAAATAAGAGATTGTCGGGTGTACTACGTGTGCACCTTTGCCTTCTCCTGGGCCCCAGAGGCCAACACCACAGTGGGCAGCCTTGCTAAGTCTTGTCCTGGACCTCTGCTGTGCCTCCCACGCCTACTCCAGCCTCTCCGTGCTTGGATGAGACTCAAGAGTACACTGGGGTTAGTCTCGGGGCTTTCTCCTCTCTTGCCGTATTTCCTGACCAGTGCTCTCAGACACGTGGGATAACTAGCTATTGAATTGTGCTTTCTACTCCAACCATCTCTGAACTCATTTGACTTATGAAAATAAATCGTTACCACCTTTCTTTATCAGGGTATCCCCAGCAAACTTAGTATGCAGAAACAGAAATCAAGCTTTTTGTAACTCATGCACTTCCCCACAAGAAAAGTCACTTTTCTCAAGTCTCCCCTGAATCACATGCACAGCTCCCCAGAACCCCTTCCTTTCAAGTGTGTATAATGGTACATACATTCACCCAGTCTTCCCAGGGTTCCTCCTTGCTGTTTAAATCCTTCCATTCTCTGCATTCCATTCTCATGACCCCTCCCAAGACTCCTAAGGATTCCTGCAGCAACGGGCATCCGTGCTTCTACTGTCCTGTCTGTCACTCCAAGCCTGCTCACTCCAGACACACATTATCTTTTTGTTTGTTTTTTCAAGACAGGGTTTTACTGTATAACATCCCTGGCTTGTCCTGAAATTTCTTTTGTACATCAGCCTGGCCTCAAACTCAGAGATCCACCTGCCTCTGCTTAGCTTCTCAAGTACTGGGACAAAAGGTGTGCACCACCACCCAGTTTACATCAGACATATTTAATAAGGCAGCTATTTGAACACTGACTGTTCATTAACCTTCTTTCTCTTGCCCATTCTACTAAATGAATGTAAAGAATTTAGAAGGTTCTGAGAACCTACCGAACCCACTGATAAATATAGAATAAGCAGGAATTAGCTGGCCATTCAAGACTCCACTGTCCAGCAGCCACTCTATTATAAAGGGCCATCTGTAAATGGAGGTTTTTCTCTTCCTGCCCTGTCCTGCAGCCACTTCCCAAATTATCACACAGAGGCTTATATTAATTATATATGTTTGGCCATTAGCTCAGGCTTGTTACTAACTCTTACACTTAAATTAACCCATAATTCTTATCTATGTTTAGCCAAGTGGCTCATGGCTTATTACCCCATTTTCTACATGTCCTGCTTGCTCAGTGGCTGGCATCTCCCTGACTCTACCCTCCTTCTTCCCATCATTCTCAGTTTGGCTTTCCCACTTAACTCCCTGCCCAGCTACCAGCCTGGCAGCTTCTTATTAACCAATGAGAGTAATACATATTCACAGTATAGAAAGGATTGTTCCACAGCAGCCACCTTTACTTCTAGACAGTTTCTCCATTCCTGAAGGTATTTATTCATCATGTTCTACATTCCATGTTTGGACCCTGTCTCTCCCTGATCACAGACATCATACTGTAAATACCTATTATCTTGACTATTTACATAACACTTTCACTTTCACTTTTATTATTGTTGTGTGTGCAGGATGTGTGTATGCACCACGGTGCACATGCAGAGGTCAGAGGACAGCTTTGGGAAGTTGGTTCTTTCCTTCCATTTTATATGAGTTCCAGGAATCTAACTCTCAGGTTGCCCGCTTAAGCCAGTATTCTATTGACTATCTCATCTTCTTGTCACTTACCATGTATGGCTACTTTTATAGATGGATTAGATATCATTTAAATTCTTCCCGGTTAACAACTTAGCTCCTGGAATTTCCTATAAATTACTGTGGGCATTAAACAATTTGAAGAATTTGATGTTGGTGTTTTGCTTGCTTGTTTTTTAGGGTGTTTTTTATTTGTTTGTTTTTTTTAAGACAGGATTTCTCTGTGGAGCCCTGGATGCCCTAGAACTTACTTTGTAGACCAGGCTAGCCTGGAACTCCCTTGACCTCCTCAAGTATTAGGTAGGATTAAAGGTGTACACACCACCATGCCCAGCAACATTCTTAAACTGAAAATAAGGCCAGCTGTCCTTGTTGGTGGCACCCACTTCTAATTCTAGCACTCGGGAGGCAGAGCCAGGCGGATCTCTGTGAGTTTGAGGCCAGCCTGGTCTACAAAGCAAGATCCAGGACAGGCACCAAAACTACACAGAGAAACCTGTCTTGGAAATCAAACAAAAAATTAAAAACAAAACAAAAAAGAAAAAAAAACCTGAAAGCAAAACTAAAACTAAGCCACCACAAAAAAGGAGTGACAAACTGCTGACAATATTTGCTGCCCAGCACTTAGGAGTGTCACACTGCAAATGGGCATGGTCTGCACCTCCATGAAATCAAACAGCTCAGCCTGAGCCATCATGCCATTTAAACCCCATTAGAAAACTACAAAAACAGGGGTTGGAGAGATGGCTCAGAGGTAAGAGCACTGGCAGCTCTTCCAGAGGTCCTGAGTTCAATTCCCAGCAACCACATGGTGGCTCACAACCATCTGTAATGAGATCTGGCGCCCTCTTCTGGTATGCAGGTGTACATGCAGACAGAACACGGGAGGGAGGGAGGGAGGGAGGGAGGGAGGGAGGGAAGGGAGGGAAGGGAAGGAAGGAAGGAAGGAAGGAAGGAAGGAAGGAAGGAAGGAAGGAAGGAAGGAAGGAGAGAGAGAGGGAGGGAGGAAGGAAGGAAGGGAAAGAAAGACGGAAGGAACGACAGAAAAAGACAGACAGAAAGAAGGAAAGAAGGAAAGAAAGAAAGACAAAAACAGCTGGGCAGTGGTGGCACATACCCTTAATTCCAGTACTTGGGAGGCAGAGGCAGGTGATTTCTGTGAGTTTGAGGCCAGCCTGGTCTACAGAGTGAGTTACACAGAGAAACGGTCTTGAAAAATAAAACAGCCGGGCGGTGGTGGCGCACGCCTTTAATCCCAGCACTCGGGAGGCAGAGCCAGGCGGATCTCTGTGAGTTCGAGGCCAGCCTGGACTACCAAGTGAGTTCCAGGAAAGGCGCAAAGCTACACAGAGAAACCCTGTCTCGAAAAACCAAAATAAATAAATAAATAAATAAATAAATAAATAAATAAATAAATAAATAAATAAAATAAATAAAACAAAACAAACAAACAAAAAAAGGGGGGGCGTTGTTAACAGTGTAGATGCAAGATTGTAAAACATGGGTAGCAAACTTCTGCCCTCTGGGGTTCTCCCATTGTGCTGTAAGTCTGTATTTAAGACCTCCTCCCTCCTTCAATAAACGGCATTCGGCAAAAAATTAAATTAAAAAAAAACAAACTCTGCCCCACCTGAGCTCAGGGCTCTCTGCTCTCACTACTGCATCAGACAGAGAGACCAAGCTCGGAGCTTGAAGAGAATAAAGTTTCTTTGCTTTTCCATGGGGGGAGGGGGGAGGAGAAAACTACAAAAACAGATAAATGGCCAAGAAATATGACAAGATATTTGAGCTTGCAAAGAAATGTAGTGAGAACCAATATTTTTTTTGTCTATCATATTAGTATCTTTCACCTATTATATTAGTAGATATTCTTTTAAAATAACCACACCTTGTCATTTGTGGTCATCTGCCTAAGCCACACAACACAGTGGAGCTGAGAGAAAATAACAGAAACCACTCATCTGGAAAAGTACTACCACCATCTTCCTTTCTGAGTCCAGGACCTGATGTGAAGAACCAGCCTGACTCCATTTTGAGATTAGATGTCTTATTACAAGGTCAAAATAAATTCACTCCTGTTTTCTGTAAAATTTGGGTTTGACCATGTCTGGATCTATTTCCTGGAATGTCATGTTCCACACCCTATACCCTAACCTCCACCCTGAAGTTTTGCCAAATTAATTTTGAAATGTTCTGCTAAGTTCTAATATAACTGAAAATCTTTGAAAACCCCCTAGCCCTGCAGTTTGGGGACTAATATAAACCCCATCTATGTTTCTCCTATGTTCAATGCAGTTTTCTGAAACCTCACTTTAGGGAGCTGACCCTATCTGACAGAAAAAATAAAGTTTGCAGAATTTGGGTGCTAGTCTTTACTCTTGTTTTGTGGGAATAACTCCTGGAATCATGGGATTTTCTTGACTTAGTTTCCAGAGCAGCTGGGACACCACGCTACCACCTGGGTCACTCGCAGTTTCTTAAGGACACACACTCTCTAAACTCTTCACTTTTCTCTTATGATGGAAAGGAATGTGCTCAATTCGAATCAGCTCAGTGCTCGATAACATCCACTGTGACATGAGATCACATCTACAGATTACACAAAGGCCTGACATGCACAGTGAAGACCACAGTGAGACCTCTGATAACTGACAATAATGGTGACGTTTGCAGACACCCTTGTAAGCACACACACACACTCTCTTATGGATGTTTATACGCGTACTTTTTTAAACCTAAAATATGTCCACGGTTATTAACAATGCCCCCCATGCATCTCATAGAAGATCTTAAGCTTTTTTTTTTTTTTTTTTAAATATTCTTTCCATTTGTCAGAATTTATTTTTTGTTGTTTGGGTTGTTGAGATAGACAGGGTCTGCCTGTGGAGCTCTGGATGGCCTGGGAACTTGCTACATACACCAGGCTGGCCTTAACTCAGATCTGCCAGCTTCTGTCTCCCAGAGTGCTAGGTCGGTCTGAAGATGAGCACCACCTCACTTGGTTCATTTATCAGAATTTTAGATAGAGACCTATAACCACAAAGTGAGAAGGAATGTGACACAGGCCAAGTTCTGCATGCTCTACAGCACAGGGTCAGGGGTCACCCTATCAAGGGTGCACGTGCATGCATATTCACATACATACATACATACAGACAGACAGACAGACAGACACACACACACACACACACACACACACACACACACACACACACAACCAAGTTCAGCTGTTCTTCAGTGTCAGGGTCAGGTGTCATGGGCATCTCTAAAATTGTACATCAGAACTGCTCAGTGTTTCCTCAAACCCCTTTGAAAATTCTATGAAAGGGTCTGGAGAAATGGCTCCAGTTAAGAGCACTGGTGGCTCTTCTAAAGGAACTAAGTTCAATTCCCAGCATCCACATCAAGCAGCTTACAACTGCCTATAAATCTAGCTTTAGGACATCCAATGCCCTCTTTTGGCTTCCATGGGTACCTGCATGCATGTGGCAGACACAAATACACATTCCCATACAATGTATGTCTATCTCCCTACCAGCAACTAAGAAGCCCCACTCTTCATTTACTGTTGAACAAAGACCTGGACATTGCCCCACATAATTTAAACGGAAGCAACTACTACAAAAATATTTCAAAATATTTGTGATGTTGGGCATGGTGGCCTATGTCTGTAATCCCAGCACTGGAGAGACAGAGGCAAGTGAATCTGAGTTCAAGGCTAGCCTGGTCTACAGAGTTCTAGGACAGCCAGAGGGCTGCACAGAGAAATCCCGTCTTGAAAATCAAAAAATAAAATTGTGAAAGTGTATTTCCATGAGACGGGTATATAACCAGAAGAGCTGCTGGCGCTCTGATTTGCCACTGTAAGTGTGGTTTAAACCAGCGCAAGCAAAGACACAGCCTGCCTCCCTGGCACACCTCACCTGTCCTACGTACTAAAGAGAAGAGTTATAAAAGTAAATAGTATTTGGTGGGACTAGAGAGAGGGCTCAGGGCATTGCTGCTCTTGAAGAGGACCCAGGTTCAGTTTCCCGAACCTATATTTCAGCTCATAACCATCTTTAAATCCAGCTAAGTGTTCCAATACTCCCTTTTTATTTATTTATTTATTTATTTATTCATTCATTCATTCATTCATTCATTCATTCATTCATTCATTCATTCATTGTTTTGGTTTTTCCAGACAGTTTCTTGAGACAGGGTTTCTCTGTGTAACAGCTCTGGCTGTCCTGGAGTTCGCTCTGTAGACCAGACAGGCCTCGAACTCACAGAGATCCACCTGCCACTACCTCCCAAGTGCTGGAAGCAGTTAAGAGAATTGGCTCTTCTTCTAGAACATCAGGGTTTGTTCCCAGCACCCATATGTTGGCTCACAACTGTCTGTAACAGTTCCAAGGAATACAAAACCCTTTTCTGGCCTCTGTGTGTACCAGGCATGCACATGGTGCACAGATATACATGCAAGCAAAACCCTCATAAAATACTATTTTTAAAATAAAGTTAAACTAAAAAATTTAAGCAGCATCTTAAATTGTGATTTCATTAGATCTTTTCTTTGGCTGTAGTAAAGATACAAATATGCACACTTTCTCATGAGTGATACAAAGGTACACCGAGTCCTGTTTTAAGCTGTGTCTGTCTTCATGACTATGCAAATACAAACACACTTATTGGAACACTCTTCCATTTCCACATTAACTGCAGCTCACCTGATTCACAAGCTCAGGAATGCCCAAGGCCCTGTCGATTTCCTCCAGGCCTGTGGCATCTGTGTTGCTCAGGAGTGTGTGCAGTTGGTCCAGCAAAGCTCTTTCATCACTCTGGCCTTCTGGGTTAGAAGGCGGCCCAAGCAGATCATCCAGAGAATTTCTAAGAAGAGGCCTAGAAAGAGACCTGAGTCAGCTTTAATGCTGCTGGACTAGGGTTGATGAGAACCTGCATTCCACATCCAGGATCACAAAAAAAAAAGCAAAAGAAAAGTTTTAACAGTGCTCTTTTGTTACTGTTGTTTTTGTTTAGGCTTACATTTTGCTAAATTCCTTAGTCTAGCCTCAAACTCACATCCATCAATCTCTCTTGTTTAGTGCTAAATGCAGAGACTTATACAATGCTCACATTAATAGCAAAGTAAAAATAACCACTATAAACTGGGTGGTAGTGGCACATGCCTTTAATCCCAGCACTCTGGAGGCAGAGCCAGGTGAATCTCTGAGTTTGAGGCCAGCCTGGTCTACAGAGAGAGATCCAGGACAGGCACCAAAACTACACGGAGAAACCCTGTCTCGAAAAAAAAAAAAAAAAAATAAACAAACAAATAAATAGTAAGTAACCACTATAAAATGGGTGGGGAGGATGGAGGAAATCCAAGGCAGGATTTCTCTGTATTAACAGCCTTGGTTGTCCTGGATCTCGCTCCATAGACCAGGCTGGCCTCTGACTCACAGAAATCCGCATGCCTCTGCCTGCCCTGAGTGCTGGGATTATAGGAGTGAGCCATCACACACAGTGAAAATTAAGCTTTAAACAATGCATAATTTTCAAAAAAACATTTTAGTGGTAGGGATAGGAGTGAACTATTGTACCTTCTTTTAATTTTTTTTAAGGAAAGATAAGATTGTGAGTTCATTCTGTTTTATTAACTACCACTAAAGCAACATCCCTTGCCCACATCTTAAGAAAATTGTGTATGTCAGTCCAGTCTCAAAAAACCAAAACAAAAACAAAAAACAAAAGACAAAACAAAAAAAAAAAACCTGGAGAGATGGCTCAGCAGTTATGGGTTCAGTTCCCAGCACTCAAATGGATGCTCACAACAATGTGTAACTCCAGTTGCAGAGGATGATGCCCTCTTCTGGCCTCCATGTGCACTTCACACACAGGATGCATAGACACACATGAAGGCAAAACACCCATATACATTTTTAAATTAATTTTCAGAAAAACTGAGACACAGAAGAACACCACATGTCTTTACCAACTGCTGCTAATGTATACCTCTCCTTGGGATATTATTGTTACAAAAGGCATCACCACACAGAAAGGCCCTTTGGAAGGCTTGAAGGCTGAACTATAGTTCTGTCTACTCCTTCCCTCCCAGATGACTCTGCTTGCTGCCTCAGCAGATGGCAAACAATCAACTATAACATTTCCAACATACTCTTTCAGAATTGTTCCTGCTCAGATTCTTAAATCCAATGCAAACATTTCCCACATCATAAAATAAAGCCCTACCTATTTTGAGTCCCATGAGGACCTTGTTCCATAGACAGCATGCCCTCTGGCCAGGAGCCTGGTTGATTCGATGGTGCTGCTGGGCCATAGGGGTTGACTCCCATTCCCATAGGAATCTCACCACTTCCTGGAGGATCAAAACCAGAGCATGAATTTTCAAAGTAGCCAATAGCAAAAATTACCATAAAACATGCAATTTTCATTTACTGAAATGGACAGCTTACTCATTTGAAGCATCTGCTGCTGCTGTTGCTGCTGCTGCTGCTGCTGCTGCAACGTTGGTCTTGCACCTGGTATTCTATTAGAACGAAGAGGCAAGGTGGGCACTGAGCCCCCCATGGCAGGTCTTGGCAAAGTGGCACTGTAGTCTCCTGCTCTTCCCAAGGGACTCGATCCCATGGGTTCCATTCTGTTGGCCTTTGAGTTAACTAAGCCCCACTCTCCTGAGGAAGAAGTCTGATTCACAGCAACACTTCTGTTTGGTCCTCCTAAAAGAGGTAGAACTTATCAGGTCTTACCCTTCATGTACATACAGGGAGAGCCATTATGTCTAACAGTGGCTGGGATGGAGCACTGTCTGTCCTCCTTAGAGCAGGGCTGGCCAACCACAAAGACAGTGTCTAGACGCCACTACTCCTGTACATTCATTACAGGTTTGGGAAGTCCTGAATCAATGGAATATTTAAGAGTTTAAATAATCAAGACAAAGGAAAGACACCCATGAAAGGAACATCATATTAGTAATAATATTTTAAGAATATTACTTGATTTCAATGTTTAAATGTTTTCTGTATTTTAAAGGTACTTCAAGGAAATGGCTACACTTAGAAATAACCTACCTATACTGGCACCGTAATTCTCCTGGCTATCCATCATTCTTGGATTCCCAGCCAGCGTGGGCTGTTTTGCTAACACAGGGAAAGCACTGCCATTCTTCACTGGAGGACCTGAGCCAACAGAAACAGGACTATCTAGAGACATGGCTCGGTTATATGGAGGACGAGCGGGCTGCAAAGGCTGTGGACTTCGCAAACCTGTTGAGAACAAAGACGCTTACCACATTAATATCCCTTGCTGACTCAATATTTAAATAATCAAGTGCAAGAAACAAACACCACTAAGCCCCACACACAAAAGTCTTTCTCATAAAAACAAACACTACCATCTTTTACAAAATAAGTTATGTCAAAAAGAAAAGAAATAAAAAAAAAAAAAAGCCCGAATTCCAAATAAAGAATTCCAAATAAAGTACAAACAACAATCTGCATGTTGGCTGACGTGCCAGCACTCAGCTGTAGCCTAATATGGTCATGCACGATGTTCCTGTTGGAGTGCCAAGTCACAAGCTGAGGAGTGGGGTTCAGTGGCCCATGTTTAGCGTCCACAAAGCCCTGTGTGTAGATCCCCAGTAACACAAAGCAAGGAAGAAGATGGAGAGAGAAACGTGCATCCATGTTTTTAATTCCTAGAGATTGTTCCACATGTGTATTTACGATGTATATTCTCTACTCACAGTTTTACAATAAACAAAAGTTACTCTGCCTTCCAATCAAATAGGAAATAAATGGAAATTTGCCTCCCAACCTTTTTCTTTTTTCAACCTCTTTGACTGCCTGATTATCTATTTTATCTATTTCAGTTTAGGACACAGTACTCTGTGGGGGAGGGAGGGGGAGTGTGGGTGTGGGTAGGGAGGCAACTTCTAGTTGTGGTAGCCATGCCTTTGGCCCCAGCATTCGAGCAGCAGAGAACATGGATCTCTGTGATTTCAAGGTCGGGGCTACACACAGATACCCTTTCTCAAAGACAGGAAGAGGGGGAGGAAAAAGACAGGAACAAACAAAGACAGGGGAGGGAGGAAAAGGAGGTGGAAAGAACTACCATGAGATGGCTATTATGATTCCTTTTTAGCTAATGCAACACACCCTTAACAAAAGAGGCAGGAAACATACAATAGGGGACAATTCCTGTAAAGACCAGAGAGAGAGAGACAGAGACAGAGACAGAGAGAGAGACAGACAGAGAGAGAGACAGAGAGACAGAGAGAGAGAGAGACACAGAGAGAGAGAGAGACAGAGACAGAGAGAGAGAGAGACAGAGACCAAGCTCTCTCATGGTTAAATAACAAGATTCTGTAAGCACCAAAATTACAAGTATTTATTTAATCCAGTTTTAATCTTTTAACCCAATTCTCTACGTATAAGAACATTATCTGCCCCGGGACCCAAATATGGATTCTCTAATAAGTATCATGGCCACTGGTACATTGATTAGAAGTGGAAAGATGAAGGGGGGGACCAGTGAGACAGTTAGCAGCCAAGACACCTGCTGACAAGCCTAATGCTAGGTTCCACCCCACCCCCCAGGACCCACACAGTGGAAGGGGAAAATCAGCTTCCACAACCTGACCTTTCTTTGACCACATATATGCTGTAGTATGAGCACGTACACATGTATGCACGCACAGACACACAAAATGAAATTAGATGTAATTTTTAAAAAGGAAGAGGGGGCAGGAACATAACTAATAAAAACAATAGCAGTGAGTATAAGAACCCAGAAAGGCAGAGGTTGTGTTCTGAAGCTCCAAGCGCTGGTGACTCCTGGTCTTGGTGTAAGAACATGCAACTGTGCTGAGAAATTTCTAGACAAAAGCTAGCAGGGTATTCAGGGACATGGCTGCATCAAGAGCATAAATCCTTGGCCAGCCTAGGTTTCTCAGAAAGAACATGTCACAACCCCTCCAACCAACCTCACCCCTCAAAAAGAAAAACTGGTTCTTCCTTACCCAGAGAACTTGGTCCTGCAAACATCTGCTGTTTGGTCCCTGGATGACTGCCATTTGTAGATACAGGATTGTTGTAGAACTCAGAACTAGTCAAATCACCAAGAATAGCATCTAGATTATCCAGGTCTCCAGATACCTGAAAATGAACCTTTTCAAGTTACCCTGCATGGAATACCAGATGCAGCTATTGAAGCATCACAAAAGAAACACCCACAAACAGGAACCCAGTGAAACACGGCAGTGACATCGGGCATGTGGTTCACACTTTTAATCCCAGCACTCCAGTTCCAGGATATGTACAGGGTGCTATAGATCCCCAGAATCTGATCTTAGAAGTCCTAAAAAACAAACCTATAGCATAAATTGCCTCACTCTGAGCCTGAGATAATACTTCAAAAATCACATCCATTAACAACAGCTTCTCCTGAAAAAGCTTCTGCTGAAAAAGAGAAGGGTTCCGGGGTAACAGCCAGGACAGGCAATGACGAGAGACCCTCTCTCTCTCCCTCTCTCAAAACAAACAACTACTCACAGTGGATAGCTGACTACCACTGCTCATATCAAAGGCTGCTTTCCTATGGCCTCGCCCATCTCTATCTATCTCCACTGCACAGTTTAGCCACTACAATAAATCACTGGGTGCTGCTCACCAATACAGCACTTTTTGCTCTGACACTGTTTTGCTACCACAGGTCACTGAGGAAGGGTCGAGAGCTGCCAGAAACCTACATCTCCACATAACTTTGTAAAATGTACTGGTAAGTGGTATTTCACAAGGCATTCCCAGGCACACAGATGTGAAGCAGGGAGGCCGTGCCCTATGAAACTCTAGTCTTTTCCATTCTCCCTAGAAGGGACTTTCTCAAAGTCACAAGAGGCTCACATACAATGTGTTCACATGCACAAACTGATTCAAGGGGGGAAAACTATGATGCTAAATCCAACTTTCCTAATAATGTTCACTGTGTCCTTAACAACCCCAGCTTCCCGCTCTAACACAACCACTTCCACAAAAAACTGGCTTCTCCAGACTTATTTATATGACCAGGAAGATGGCTCAGCAGGTGAAGGAGCTGGTCTGCACACCTGACAACCTGAGTTCAATCTCCAGGACCACACTGGAAGAGAAAGAACAGATTCCTTCTAAAGACTCCTCTGACTGCCACAAGCATGCTGTGCATGCTACACCAACCCCCATGCACACGTACGCGCGCACACTCACACACATTCGCTCAGCCACACTCACAGACTCTTGCACTCAGGCTCACAGACTCACAGTCTCATAACCACAGACACTCAAACCCTCTCCCTCACAGATACTCACACCCTCCCTTTCACTCTCCCCTCCTCCTCTCACACGCATCCTCTCTCTCTCACACTCACACCCTCCCTATAATAAATGAAAGTTATATAATAAATGCTACCTGACAACCTATAATAAATGTAAGCTTAAGGTTGTCCTTAAACTTAAAACTAACAGTAGATGGTGTTGCCACATTCTGTTTATGACACGGAAAAGAAACAAGACACAGAGCTGAGCAGAGCCCTCACCTCCTCCCTCGTCTCCGTCTTAACTTTGGAGTCTTTGTCTTGGCTGGAGCTGGGATTGGTGGGGCTGCTGCACTGACTCAGCCTACTGTCGCCGCCGCCACCGCTGCCATCTGCTTGGGGCTGCAGCTCTTTGGCAAGAGCATCGCTAGGGTCGTCCCTGTCCAGCAGGTATCTGAGAAGGGCATTGTTCTCCTTCTTCTTGGGACTCAGCTGCTCCTGCCTGACACTCCCTTCTCCACAGGAAGCAGAAGTGCTAGTGTCTTTCCCAGTGGCTTCTGCCGTGATCTTGGCGACTTCCGCTGGTGAGTTGCCGTTCTGCAGCAGCTTGTGCAAAATCCGGTGCTTCTCTTGCAGCAGAGACCCATGCACGTTGGAGGTGGAGGACACTGCTCCTGATGAAGAGGAGGACACTCCAGAGGGGCTGGTGACACTAATGGAAGAGTCTTTGCAACTGGAATCCAGGGGGGAGTTGGTCAAGGAGGAACGGCCTCGGTCATCAGAGGAGCACGTGAGCAGCTGCAGCAGTTTCTTGTGGCCTTTGCTTTCCAGGGGACCCCTCTGAGTCTCGGGCCCCTCCCCACTGCTCTCCTTGCCCTCCTTGTCACCGGGGTGCTCTCTGCTGTTTGTCTGACACACTGAACTCTCCACTGCATTCTGTTCACAGTACAAGCCTAGGGGGCTCTTAGAGTCCTGCCTGCTCACTTTACTTGGCTGATTGACAGTCATGTTGGGAGAGTTATCCAGTTTGGGGCCTGGTGAAGACAGAGTGGATAAGAGAGAAGTGCCCACCCCCTCGCTGATGGCTTGCAAGGCACTGAGGGAGCTGCTAGAAAAGCTGTGACTCCCTGCAGTGCCAGCAGATCCCATGGGAGAGTGCACACCTGCATGTGGAGAAAGACCAGGAGAGAGATAGTCAGACATGCTAAGAAACAACTTCAAAGATCCTAGTACAAAGAACAACAGTGGTATGGGAAGAAACCCCAAGCAAAAGAAAATGCTGCTGTGGATACCTGCAACGGGAGAGAACTGGTGTGAGGCCATCTTTGGGCTCCCGCGATTACGAGGAGAAATCATGATGTTTTGTTGGCTGGGGCCAAGACCAGGACTGCCTTGCGGGGGGCTGCTCATGTTGAGCCCATAGCTGCTATTCTGGTAGGAAGACGGTGACTGCAGGCTTGGTCCTGCGGTCAGCGAGGCCAGGCTACTGGAAGGCCCATACCTAGCTCCACCCAACTGCCCCGAGTTGCTGGGGTCTGCCACACCATAGGTCCTGCTGCCCAGTGTCTGGACACTCTGATTGGGAGACATGCTCACGCCACACCCTGCTGCAGGAGGTCGGGTGCCTTGTCCTACAGAATTTGGGTTCGGTCTATACCCATTCTGTTCTCTGCAAAGAAACACATAGTTTTTGACTTGAAAACCTGCAGCAATGAAAAAAAGGAAAGGTACAAGGGAAGGAAGCTAGAGGGAGAGAACTGCCCAGGAGCACACACTAGGTGTCACTCCAGTACCAATTCATCGCCATGGTTTTTAGGTTTATTTAATTTTATGTGTACTGGTATTTTGTGTGCATATGTGCAATTTCACCATATGCATGCCTAGGGCTTGTGGAGGTCACAAGGCATCAGTCCCCCGGAACTAGAGTTACAGATAGTTGTGAGCCACCATATGGGTGCTAAGAATCTGATCCTCTGTAAGAATAAGTGGTTTTAATAACTGAGCCATCTCTCTAGCCCCTACTTGCCCTGGTTTTTTTGTTGTTGTTGTTGTTTTTTGTTTTTTTTCCAAAATCCACTTATTATTTTGAGACAGGATCTCACTAAGTTACCCAGGTTGGCCTTGAAAACATTCACTAACTCAGTCAGAACTTAAGATCCTGTTGCCTCCCTCAGCCTCCCATGAAGCTAGGATTACAAGTATATACCACCAGGCCTGAGTCTGGGGGTTGTTTGGGTTTCTTCTTATTGTTGTTTTGTTTGTTTTGAAGTGGGTCTCATGCAGCCTAGGGTAGCTTTGATTTCACTCTGAAGCCAAAGCTTTCCTTAAACTTCTCTTCCCGCCTCCACCCCCAAGTGCTGGGAATCCCAGGAGTCCATCACCATACCCAGTTCACACCATGCTAGGAATCGAACCTGGGGCTTGATGCAAGGCAAGCATTTTACCAGCTGACCTACCATCGCTAACCCTAACAGTTTAAATGGGTGAATGACACGGGGTGGCTCTAACAGCCATGGTATCTGCAGCCTCTGAGGCCTCACTACAGCTGCCCTTACAATCAAAGGATTTCTTCCTTTCTATGCAGTTAACTTACCATTAATAACAGCAATAACTATTACCCTTTATTTTATAAATACCTCACTAGAAATAAGAGCTAACAAGGTATCCACTATTATCCAAACATATCACAACCTTCACCCTATGCCCCACAACCCACACCCTGACCTTACCCAGGAGGCAATTATTTAGTGGAAAATGTTAACTTCAGATTAAAAAAAAAATACAACCTTAAAGAAAACATCTGAGAATCTAAATAAACTTCACCAAATCCAACAACTTTCCTGACTTTTCTCCCTTTGCATATCAACAGCAAAGCATCCTGAGGACGTGGGTGCACTTAGTGTCATCACCTCTGAAGAAAGTGGGTCGAGACGAAGCCATGACGATCATTCGTTACAGAATTTCGCAAGAGTTTACTTTTCGTCTGTGCGCTCACAATAGTTCCATCCGCCAATGAGAAGCGATACACTGGGGTCTCTGCATGGCCATGAATATAAGCTATTGGGGAAAAGCATATTGTTACTAGTATGTGAGACTAGACCAATGCATACAGAAACAGGAGAGAATTGTGCTTCAATTACCAAGTTTTATAAGCCATGTGGACATGCTTGTATATATAGTATAAATCAGCTATGCTCAAAAATCATTCCCTCTCCCACAACCACTAGATATCAGGACAAGTGCTGTCCACACAGTGAGTGCTTTACAGCATCATCAAACACCAGCACCAAGATCAACTCCAAATGCCTTTACCTTCTTGATAGTGACGCTTCTGGGACCATGACTGCCCATCATTCATACTGAAGAATTTCTGGATACATCTTCGGATGGTATCTTCAAAGCCAGGCCTCATGGAAGATCTAAGTGAGTTTGTATCTATATTGACAACCTTTCCTGTTAAAGATAAAACCAACAGATTTCAACCTGCACACAAGTACCTACTGCTGCTTAGCTCTGACTAGCACTTGAGACAAAGCAGCTGAATCTCAACTCTGCCTTCCATCCTTAAAGCACAGCAGGAAGCTGATCGCAGTCTGTATGTCCCGCTATGGAACAGAACGGTGTACTCCATCTGGTTCTAGGGGAAACAGTAAGAAGCATGCCACTGTTCTTGATGCAATTTTATAATGAACAGGAGTTGCCTTTGCAGTCAGGAAAGTCTTGGGTGAAATGAGTTTAACTGTGAGTCACCAAAGTGCTTAGAGAAACTTTATTTAGCTATACTTAGTGTTATTTAGGAGAAAACAATACCACTCAATCAAAGACAGAGAAAGTGAGAGTAAGCACTCAAGAAGGGACTGATTCTGAAAGACCAAATAACAAATAAAAATGTATGTCACTGGGGTGTGGAGATATACAGCTCAGCTAAAGTGCCATGAAGACCCACGTTCAATTCTCAGCACCCCAAAAAGAAGCTACGTGGAGTGTTGCAAACTTGTAATCTCAGAACTGAGCAGGCAGAGAAAGAAAGCTCGGAGGCTGGTCAGCTGGCCTAGACAAATTAGGTTCAATGAGTTTTTAAAAACAGGGGGGTGTGGCTGGGCGGTGGTGGCACACGCCTTTAATCCCAGGCAGAGCCAGCTGGATCTCTGTGAGTTCAAGGCCAGCCTAGTCTACAGAGAGAGATCCAGGACGAGCACCAAAACTACACAGAGAAACCCTGTCTTGAACCCCCCCCCCCAAAAAAAAAAACAGGGGGGTAGGGGGCGGGGTGGTGTCGGGAAAGTTGCTAAGAGCACTGGCTGCTCTTGAAGAGCACCCAGGTTCAACTCCCAGCACCCACATACATGGCAGTTCACAGCCCTCTGTAACTCTATTCACAGCAGATCCAACACTTTATAATTGAGGTGGACAGCAAGGAGCAAATAACGAAGGTCTTTAATTCAGGGTTCCTGTGGTCAAAAATGAACAGATCAAAGCTGGGATCCCAGCACTCAGGAGGCTGAGATAGGAGTTCTAAATAGGAGTTCCAGGTCAACAAGGGTTCCATTCGGAGGTCCTGCCTTTTTTTAAAAAGTAGAAGAAAACCAAACCTTCTGTTTATGACAAGAATTACTCTCCAGGATGGAGAGATGGCTCAGAGGTGAAAAGTACTGACTGCCCTCGAGGAACACAGTCTGGGTTCCAACACCTACATGGCAGCTCACAACCATTATAACCCCAGTTCTGAGATCCAATGCCATCTTCTGGCCTCAGAGGCAGGCACACGATAGTGCACAGACATGCATTTAGGCAAAACATAATGGCATGAAAAATAATAACAAACATAAATGATACATAAAACTTGTATCATTACAGCAAATGGGTTTGCAGTTACAGAAAAGAAATACTAAATTCTCACACAAAATGCTATTTTGGGGGCTGGAGAGATAGATGGTTCAACATGTAAAGGCACATTGCCACTAATCCTGACGATGAGGCTGATATCCAGGACCTACACGGTGGAGAGCACAAAATACTTCCTCTACATTGTTCCCTGACCTCCCAGCTACACTACAGGGCATGTGCACACACGCTGTATCGTATGTGAATGGATGGATGAATCTTTCTTTCATATTTTTAATTTTTTTCATTTTCTATGTGTACGTATGTGTGTGAATGTATGCCATGTTTGTGCAAATGCCCAGAGACCAGAAAAGGGCACTGGATTCCCTGGAGCTGGAGTTACAGGTGGTTGTAATCTGCCCTGCATGGGTGCTGGGAACTGAACCTGAGTCCTTTGGAAAAGCAGGAAGCCCTCTGAACCCCCGAGCCATCTCTCTAGTTCCATAAATCAATGTTTTTGGAAAGTGCTATCTGGCCTGGCAGTGGTGACACACACCTTTAGTCCCAGCACTAGGGAGGCAGAGGCAGGCAGATCTCTGAGTTCAAGACCAGCCTGGTCTACAGAGTTCCAGGACAGTCAGGGCTACATAGAGAAACCCTGTCTGGAAAAACAAAAACAAACAAATGAGGGGAGAAGAGAGGGAGGGGGCAGGTGCTATTTGAAGAAGAGGCCAGTGCCTTTACATTTGTTTATCTTTTATTTTGGGGAAATTTAAGTACCAACTATATTCAATTGCCAAGGTTTTTAGTGGAATTCTTTTATGTTCATATAATAAGCGCAGGCTCAGGTGAAAGCTGACCCTTGGCAGGGAAAGTGCTTACTGATGCCCTGTTTCATGCTTGGAGCATGTGGTAGAAGAGGTGCACGCACTCAGGCACACACAGAACCTACAGGAATAGGAACCAAGTTTCAGAACAGTTTCCAAGGGAAGGCACACAGGGCTGGTTTACCTGAAAGGTCATGCCTGGTAATAAAGCTCTCAGGACTCGATGGGAATGCCCTTTCCCCTGTAGTCACTCGGCGTGCCACACAGATCATACAGCACTGCAAGTCTACAAGGAGCAAAGGGTCGAATTACACTCACGGTTACACACATTCAACAGGTGAGCAAGGACACAACGTCAGTAAGAGTTGGGATGGACACAGCGGTCTCTAACGCCTACCTTCCCCTTCTTCCAGCATAGCTCGAGGCTGGGACAGGGCGAAGCACTGCATTGTCTCATATCTCTGGCGAGTTTCAGGACTGGCATTCATGTCTTCCAAAATATCATGTGTTTTCATCAACATACGACAATTAAATGTATGGCTTTTTTGTCTCTGGGTCTCATTAGTCCAAGAAACTCCATTAACTTTTGGGGGAAAAAAATTAAAATTTGAAAACAAATTGAAGTTATTTCTTACAAGCCAGGTAAAACTCAGTCAAAAATTATCAAGAATCCAAGCTAGGGTTGAGGCTGGAGAGATGGCTTAGCAGTTAAGAGCATCTGTTGTTCTTTGCAGAGGACCTGGGTTTAGTTTCCAGCACTACATGGTAGCACACAGTCACCCATAACTCCAAATGCAAGGGATCTGATGCCCTCTTCTATGCATATGATGCACATATATGCACAGTCAAAACACTCATCAGACACACAAAATTTTTAAAAATTCAAGCCAGGTACTAGAGGGATGGCTCACTGGTTAAGAATAGTTGTTGCTCTTCCTGAGGACCAGAGTCTGGTTCCCAGCACCCATATCAGGCAGCTCCCAAACACCATTAACTCCAGTTCCAGATGATAATGCCCTCTATTGGCCTCCAACCACACTGCAGTCACACATGGCATACATTCACATAGACACATACACATTAAGTTTTTTGGTTTTTGTTGTTGTTGTTTTGTTTTTTAATCTTTAAGACTTGGTGGTGGTGGCACACTCCTTTAATCCCAGTACTTAGGAGGCAGAGGCAGGTGGATCTCGGAGCCAGGATTGTTACATAGAGAAACCCTGTCTCGAAAAACCAAAATAAAATATAAAATAAGTAAATAAATAGAAAAGGAAAAAACAAAAAACAAAACAAAAACAAAAACCAAGGATCCAAGCTATAAACTGAGTGTGTAGGGCATGCAGCTACCCCAGCTTCTAAGAAGGCTGAAACAAGAGGACTGGAGAGCAGCATGGCTAACACATGAGACCCTATGTAGACAACAGAGGAACAAAATCCAGCTATGTTTTATCACCACACAAACTCCCAAGTGGTGTCACCTACATACTGACATTTCAGAGCGACAATAAAGATATCTGAGTAAGCTCAGCCTCACCAGAAGCCCCAATGGACATTTGGGCCCCAGGAAAAACTGAGTCTGCTGAGGCCACACTGAAAATACTGCTGGCAATCACTTGTTAAGTCTCAGCTCCTAGCTTCCTAAAAAAGCACATTCAATTTCTTAAGAAATAAGTAAGAAAAAATTAAACGTATTTAGAAAACATATTTCTATGCAATACCTGTAGCCAGATATGGCAGCACACATCTATAATCCAGCAGATGGGAGGAAAACAGGAGGATCATGAGTTCAAGGCTAACCTGGACCACACAGTAAGACCCTGTCTCTCTCTCAAACAAAATACAAAACAAAGAGCCCACCTGTGGATTTGGGCAAGTGTTTAAGGAAGTCCTTCCGGTCCTGCTCATGTAAGATGCTGTAGACACTTGTGTTAACCAGGTCTTCCTGCTTGTACTGCAGATACTGTGTGACATTTTCTGACACAAATACAATGTTGCCATCTCGATTCACCACAAACAGAAAACCATCCAGTGCCTGCAGTGAGATGTGTAAATACAGACTACTATGAAAACTGTATCCCTGTGCCCCCAAAGCATTAAACCCCTTCCCCTCTTTTTGCAAGGGTCAGGGTTACACTTGCAAACAGAGTCTTTAAAGAGTCAGTAAGTATTAAAGAGGACCCAACTCAACCTAACCAGTGTCTTCTCAAGACAGATAACAAGACACCGGGGATGCATACTCAGAGAAAAGGCCATTTTAAGGCATGGTAACAAGCCAAGGAGGACTCAGGAGAAGCCAACCCTGCCAACACCCTGATCTTGGACTCCAGTCTTCAAAACTGAAGAAATAAGCTCCTGTTGTCTGAGAGACGCTCTGGATTATCCTGTCACTGCAGCCTTAGCAGACTACGATCTTCTTTGTAAATAGAACTTGAAGGGGGAAAAAACGATGCTAGCCTAATAATTAGAGTGAACTACAAACTATCGCTTCTATTAACATTAGCATGATTATTTCAAAGTTTAAAAAGAATTGTAAGAGAGAGAGAGAGAGAGAGAGAGAGAGAGAGAGAGAGAGAGAGAGAGAGAGAGAGAGAGAGAGAAGCCAGGCGGTGGTGGCGCATGCCTTTGATCCCAGCATTCGGGAGGCAGAGCCAGGCTGATATCTGAGTTCAAGGCCAGCCTAGTCTACAGAGCAAGATCTAGGACAAGCACCAAAACTACACAGAGAAACCCTGTCTTGGGGGGAACAAAAGGTGGGGAAGCAGGGCATGACAGAGCATACCTTTAACCCCAACATTCAGGAAGTAAAGGAAGAAGGTACAGGAAGGAGTTGAGGTCACCCTAGGCTATCATAGCAAATTCAAAGACAGCCTGTGTTAACATTATACCCTGTCAAAAAAAAAAAAAAAAAAGTCTAGGGGTTTTGAGACCCTTAGTGCTCCCCAGTTAAACTAAAGGAATTACCATACTGTTCCTAAAATGAATGAACACAGAAGTAGTTGAAATGACTCACTGAAAGACCAGTTGTCAAGTAAACTTGCTGAAGCGCTCGCCGGCCTGAAGTAGCACTGCGCCATGGTTAATCAGCTCTTCTCAAGGCAATTACTTTAAAAACATGCACATGTTTAATGTTTGAAATTGCCTCACAAGCTGGGTGCAGCTCCATCATACAGCACTTGCCTAGCATGCATGAGGCCCTGGGCTCCCTCCCCAGCACCATGAATAAAATTCTTGAAGAAAACAGAGCTGAGGGCTAAGGGTGTCCCTTGGTGGTAACATGCTTGCTTGCCTGCTGTGGTCACCTAGCATGTGAGGCCCTTGGTTCAATCTCAAGCACGAAAAAGAAAAAGTAAAACTATAGTGTTCTGTGCAAACATCACGGGAAAATCCACAAAAGGGTCTGAACTAAAATACACCAAGTAGCACCTCTGGATGCTGGTGACCTGTAAGCTACTTCCTCAGGAACGTGTGTGTGTGTGTGTGTGTGTGTGTGTGTGGTATTTTCAGAACTATATAGTGTCAGCAAGGGTATTTTGTGACTGCTATAAGAATACAAAGCTATTTTCTTATCTCCAACAGCCCCTATATCTACCACATATATACATATATGTTTGTCACATGGTGAAACAACCAAGCACAACATGCTTTGGACAGCTACAATCTTCACACCTACCTGTAGTAAAAGTGGTCCTAAAGAATCTTTATCAATGACCCCCTGGCCTGTAGAAGACACATCAGCTTTCTGAACATCATCATCACTGGAAATAGTTTTTCCTGAAGACACAAAAGGAAGCATTGTGGTGAGCAGCACCTACCTCAGCGCATGAGCGAGCACACGTGCGCACATACACACAGACACACACACTGGCAGATAGGTAGTATGTACACATACATGCTGAACACACACAGCCTGATAAGAGAATACCGCAACATAAAAGCATTAAGCTTCCTGGTTTCCCTCTCTGATAAAGGTGTGTGTCTTTCAGGCCAGCTCTCTCCCCTCCCACCAGCATCTGACATGGTGAGGAACACTGGCTGTCTACCAGCTCTCTGTTAATTGTTCCCTAAAAAGCAAAGCTGGTCAACGCCTGGGACTTTAGGGTGAGTCTTACTTAACACAAGTGAGACCCTATTCAATGCCCTGATCCAACATGGGGGTGGGGGGTGACTCTGTATTACCTTGTTCTTTTATTTGACGTATCTGTCTCACCGTTTCCTTTAAAATCGCACATTTATCTGGTTTGACATTGAAAGTGTCAATATCGCTAAGATTTGCAGATATCAGCTCAGCCAGTTCTTCTATGTACTTGCTCTCCTGCTCCCGTCTCCACTTTTCAGCACTGTAGGCAAGCCTGGAAAGAGGGAGAGAAGCCACAACTCACACCTCTTGAGAAAACTTCAAGCAGAATCTTCCCATTAACACCATTAGCTCTACGTGGAAACAAACTCAACTCAGCAACCAAGAACCATCAAGATGTGGCAGTAAGCCGGGCATTGATGGCACATGCTTTTAATCCCAGCACCCGGGAGGCAGAGGCAGGCGGATCTCTGTGAGTTCGAGGCCAGCCGGGGCTACAGAGAGTTCCAGGACAGGCTCCAAAGCTACAGAGAAACCCTGTCTCGAAAAATCAAAAAAGGGGCAGTACAAAAGCATACACTGTAGAAATTCCTGCAGCTTTGTTCAATGCCACCTCTGACTAGCCACTGGCCTTAAGAAAAATCAATCCCAGTTCCTCCATCTGGAAAATGGAGACAAATCACCTACCCCTGTCCTGGAGCATCACAAGGCAATTTGCGTTTTCGAGACTCAGTGGTAAGCGGATCCAAGGAGCTTTCACCTAGTCCACTCATCTTGAACACAGACCAGCAACTACAAAAGAAGATATAACAAGATAAGCACTAAAGCATGCATTTTCTATGAAGGTGTCATGTGAAAGGATGGCTGCACCCTGTGGTCGGTCCAAAAGTCCTTTCCCGGTGTACTTGTTATGGATGAATGTGTTCACACAAGCTCAGAGCTCAGCTGCATTGTAATCATGCTGGGCATGGTGGTGAAAACCTATAACCCCAGCACTCAGAAAGCTGAGACAAGAAGATTAAGGGTTCTGGGCAAGCCTGGTGTGGTAGTTTAGAAACCTAAACTAAGACACCTGAAGTCAGTCTGGACCACAGAGTAAGACCCTGCGTCAACATAGATATCACAAAATAAATTGTATTTAATAAAAGACTATCAAGATGCCAATCTTGATAAAATTCTAAATTTTATTTATATCTAAGCAGCACATAGATAAAAGCTTATCCTGTGCTTTGGCAAGAATTCTTCAAACTGGGTGGTGGTGTCACATGCCTTTAGTCCCAGCACTCAGGAGGCAGAGCCAGGTGGGTCTCTGTGAGCTCAAAGCCAGCCTGGTCTACAGAGTGAATTCCAGGACAGACACATCTACACAGAGAAACCCTGTCTCAAAAAATCAACCAAACAACAACAAAAAAAAAAAGTGCTGAACCCAGACTAGACTATGCAGAATTTTTTTTAAATATTTATTTTTATTTTCTGTGTATGAGTGCTTTGCCTGTGTACATACACATGTATCATGTGTATGCAGTGCCCACTGAGGATAAAAGAGGGTGTCAATCTCCTGGAGCTGGAGCTAAGAGGCAGTTATGATCTACCATATGGGTGTGGTGGGAACAACCTGGGGCCTCTGCCCAAGCAGTCAATGCTCCTAACCACTGACCCATCCTCCAATCCACAGGCTCTCTTTCTAGGTAGTATTTCTGTCCAGTGGATTATTTCTCTAATATTTATAAGCCTAGGCTATATAAACATTACTGTAAAACTCCCATACATTCTACTTAAAGCATGGGTATAAATCCAGACAAACTCTTACATGACAAGGGTTGCCATAAGCCATACAGCAACAATTATTTACATACTGAGTGGTGGGAAAAATAATATATCTTGGTTAAGTTTCAAGCACTAAGAAGATTAAACACAGGGTATTTCTTTTTGAGCTTCTAATGTGAGGTTCTATTAAGTCTCATTTACATGTGTAATATAAACTCTTGCTTGAACAGGACAATCACTAGTCTCTAGCGTTAAAATGCGTCTAGCATTTCAGCCAGCCAGTCTGCAGGACATACGTCCACTAGGTGGCACAATACTACCAGAAAGGCCAATTTTTAAAAAAACCACACAGACACACACACACAGACACACACACACTGTCAAACTTAAAATATGTAGGTCATGTTTGTTTTGAGGCACAGACTGGCCTGGAACCCACTATGTAGTAGTCCTGCTGGTCCTGAACGCCTGGTCCTCCTGCCTCTACCTTACACTGAGACTACAAGCACGAGCCCTCACGCCCACAGTCACACACCTCTGAATCCTCACATGGTTTCATCAGGAACTTCAGACTACAGCATCATGTTGATGGACTCATACCAGTGGGAAACAGCGAAGTCTGGTTCTGTCAAAGACGGAACTACAGCAAATCTAGCTGCATTACAGACATGCTTCTCACGTACTTCGTCCAAAGAGCATTTTTAGATTGAGCAGCAAACTATACACTGAGCACTAACATACTTGTTTTCACTTAATTTAACCCAGATTCTGTGTAGTGTTTTCTTGCCCTGGGTTAACCATGGGCTGAAGCTACACACCTGCATGGAGAACTGCCAGTGAAAAGCAGTTCTTCAACTGGAAGATGAGGTTTGATCTGTATTCAGCACACTAGGTCCAACCTTGCTAAGAAATATAAACTGGTGCATAGCACATAATGGAGAGTTCATAAATGCCACAGATAGCAGAAAAGCAGCTTAGAACGCCTTCCCGTGCTGTCAAAATCCAATATATGTCTGTGTCACTCAGAAGGATCATTTGTGACAAAATTCAAACTAAACAAGACACATGCCTTTAATCCCAGCATTTAGGAAGCAGAGGCAGGTCGATCTCAATGAGTTCGAGGCCAACCTGTTCTACAGAGTGAGTTCCAGGACAGCCAGGACTGTTACACACAGAATCCCTGTCTTCAAAAAAAAAACAAAAAAGAATCTGAAAGAGACTACAAAAACGGATGCAAACACAGCCCACCTTTCTAGAGGTCGCAGCCAAACTTGGCACCTGCTGCAGCGCATGCATCCACCAAGTACACAGCAGGAAATGAACATCAGTGGAGTATGCCAAACACAAGAGCTAACATTACAGTTTTGGTGTATGGCTTAACATTAACCAACTTCCTTTTTTGTTATCTCAGGGTTCAGACAAGAGAAAGAGCTTGTAAACTGGCTAGAAGAACAAGGGCCCAGAAGCACTCCTTGACCAACAGGAACAGGGTGAGGGCTCAGAGGGCACTGGCTCTTGCCTCTGCCCCAGCATCCTGACGTTGTCTTCTGCACTCCATTTGTGCACTGAGGCATGTGTGCACGTACAGGCACATGAATGTTAATAAAATATAGTTATTTCGGGGCCTAAGAAAAACCTTAGGCCAAAATGAGAGAGAGTGGGTTACCCAATGCTAAGCTAAGCTAGCATTTTCCTGTGTGAAAGGCGGGGAAGGGATGACAGAGCAGGATGGCATTGAACCTCTCGCATATATTCGTGACAACCCCCCATGCATACAATCAGTTTTACAGAGAGGAAGCGGCTAAATAGCTTGCCACTAGCATCACCACGAGATCCTGCAGGGAAGACCTATGACTGACTCTATAACCAACAAAAGGCAACAAATGTTTCTTATGCCCTTTACCCCATTTTATCCCCCACGATCACAAAAGAAAGCATGTATGCGTAAACCACACCACCTCCAACCAGTCAACAGAGCTGCTCAGCGCATCACTACGATCATAAACACTTCAGTTTAGGGGCATGAGGTAAGTGCCTGGGAGTAAGGGGTTACCTCCACAGCTATTATGCCTCACCCCTACCCACTACTCCCCAAGACACCAGATAAACCATACTCCGGCCTAGTATTACCCTTACTTCCACATGAGATGTGCAGAGTGGCTAACACAGTAAGGAAATCTGAGGTGAGAAAAGCAAAAGCTCTCTAAAACAGCCTCAAGTGTCTATTCTTGGGTGTGCTATGATTAAACACTGGGGCCAAGACCTGGCGATCTCAGCTGTGACTCAACTTCTCCATCAGGCTTGTATGCCAGGGCTATACAAGGTATGATTGAGTACACTGATTATGAGAGTCTTTGCAGTGTCTCTTGAGATCCACAGAAACTTAAGAAAATGTTCAAACAACAGCTGTGGCTTTTAATTGATTTACTGAGAACTGCTTAAAGCACTAGGCAAAAGCTGGGACTGCTCATTCTAATGGGGAGGAGCACTTCGGAAGAACTTACAAGACATCAAGAGACATTCGTACATAAAGGTTTTGCCTAAAACACAAGTCCCAAATTGATACACCTACTCAATTTAGTGGCTTGACACCACCAACTAATCTAAATACTTAATCGGGGTTGGGGATTTAGCTCAGTGGTAGAGCAAGCCCCTACCAAATAATAATAATAAAAGTTTTTGTCTAGCCACATACCTTTAAGCCCAGCACTCTTGGAGGTAGAGGCAGACGTGTCTGTGTGAGTTTGAGGCCAGCCTGGTCTACGGAACAAGGTCCAAGAGAGCCAGGACTACACAGAGTAACCCTGTCTCAAAAACAATCTGTCTTCGTCACTGGTAACCTTTGGTTTAGAGGACAACATACAAACACCTAACAGAATCCATGTTTCACTTCAGCTCCATCCTAGCTCAAAAGCTAGCATGTACACAACATCTCAAGGCTGAGTGCAATCACCAGTGCTAGACCGCTCAGCCCAGCAGACAAGGAAACCAGATGACCATCATAACCTAAGTTAACCAGCCCATAATAAACCTACCCACCTAAACTCTTGTTTGCTTTTTGTTTTGATCCACCCGGTCTGCCGTTGTTGTTTGTTTCGAGCCAGGGTCTCACTATGTAGCTCTGACTGTCGTGGAACTCACTACATAGACCAGGCTGGCCTCGAACTTGGAGATCCTCCCTCCTGCCTCTCTGCCTCCCTAGTGCTGGGATTAAAAGTGTGTGCCATCACACCTGGCATTTAACCCAGCACATCTTAAAAGAAAAAAAAAATTTACCTTGACTCCTCTGATTTAATTATCAGAACCTACCAGCCTACAGATCAAAGTCTGGCCTTTATAATTGACTTCAGCTCCATTTAAACCTCTTACTCTAAAAAAAAAAAGAAAAAAAAGTAGTATTTCTTCCTCCTTCCCAGCACTGCTATGGGGGTGAGAAAGGTGGCCTCTGGAGCGTGTCCTGTCAATCATTCCTTCTGCCTTCAGCACATCTACTCTTCCAAACAAACCCAACACCTCTACTGAAGCTACTCTCAACCCACACAATCAGAGCAAGTCATAAACCTTTACCTGGATGTACTTTACACACCTTTGGCTTTCGGAGACAAAAATCTCCCTATATACATCCTAGGCTGGCCTCAAAGTCATCATCCTCCTGCCTCAGCTCCACAAGTGCTACAATTAAGAACTTGCCAGCTTGTTTTCATACTTTCTTGCAACATTATACAATACCCTCTGTTTCTGGTTAGTCCTCTGGTCTCCCTACTCCGGACTTTGCAGGCTGAAGCAACAGCTAAGCCTGGCAGCACACGCAACTACTTGGGAGGTGGCAGCAGAATGCGCTCCAGGCCAGTGGTAGACTATTTCAATACTGTCACTACCACCCTAGTCCTTCTGCAACTCCAGTCCTCTTCCTCCCTCCCAGCTCTGCTTCTGGTAAGTTTCCTAATCTTCAAAAGTACAGTGTTTGTGGAAAGGAGAGCGGCTGAATGTTAGTGAAATTTCCTCCTTTCTATTTTTCTTCACCC